CTTCCCTAGGACTTTGTCTCGTCTCCATCGTAATTCTATCATGTCACTGTCCCCTTCCATTGGCCCTGCACATCTCTTTAGTTGACTCAGGATCAAAAAAGCAGAATTTTAGCTATGGGGTACATCAGTCACCATTTTTGCTTTGAACTTCAAAGATAATATTGAAAAAAAAAACAGTAAAGACAAAGGAGATTAGCTCTATCACATATTAAGACATACATGGATCTCTCTTATTCACATGGGATATATTTCAAGAACCCCAGTGGATGCCTGATACCTTGGGTAGTATCCAGCTCTCTATATGTTATATTTTGTACCTATACATATGTATAAAGTTTAACTTATAAACTAGGCACAGTAAGAGATTAATGATAACCAATAATAAAACAGAACAATCACTGTATTAATCACACAAGCATTGTGATATCATGCCAGTCAATCAGATAAGCAAGGCAGCTACTAAGTGACTAATGGGTGGGTAAAGTATACAGCATGGATACACTGTGCAAAGGGATGATTCACATCCAATCCTGGGTGGGATGGAATAGAATGGCATAAAATGTCATTATTACCCAGAATGGAGCACAATTCAAGACTTAGGAATTATTCATTTCTGGAATTTTATACTTAACATTTTTTCAGACTACAGTTGACTATGAGTCACTGAAAGCATAAGAGGCAAAATTGCAGATAAGTGGGCACCACCATAGAACTAAGACATAGTAATACAGTCAGCACAGTGCTGGCAAAAGACAGACATAGAACAACAGAACAGCAACGAGAGTCCAGAAATAGACATGTGAGGCTAATGGGTAAAGATATCTTCACACACTGGCTGGGGAGAGATGGACTGTTAGGTGGGTGCTCCCCGAAAACTGCCTCACCATATAGAAAAAATAGCATCATATCGCTATTAGCTACTGGAGGTGAACTCCAGATGGATTTAGACTTAACTGTGATCAGTAAAAATATGAAGGCCAGAAAGAAGAAAATGTAGGAGACTGTTTCATGACTGTTTCAGTTACTTTTCTGGTTGCTGAGACAAAATCCTCAACACTCAGTTAAAGGAGGAAAGGTTTATTTAGCTCACAGTTTGTAGAAGTTTCAGTCCATAATCAGCTGGCTCCAAGGCAGGGTGGCATGGGAAAGGGGCATGGCAGAGGAGAAATAATCCATGGCAAGCAGGCAGGTGAAAGCACATTAGCCTTCCTTCTGTCTGTTATATTTTGTGCAGGCTACCCACCTTAGGGCAGGTGTAGCACTCGCATACAGATGAGAAAGAAGACATGGAACTGATGTGTTATGGAGTGTGCAAGGCTTTGTTTCAGTCTGCTTGGCTTCACACTGCTTTCTGGGATGGCCATAACTATGCCAGCACCATGCCAAGCCAATCAGTGGACTGATTTAGTAATCACACACTCTTGGTCCCAGCACCACACATTCCAGATCCAGCCACCTCTGAAAAAGCCCTATCTACGACCGCATGAAGCTTTTAGGGGACATCTAAACACAAGCCTTAACAATGATGGAAATGAACTTCATGGATGAAACTCATGGATGAAAAAGGATTCTTAAATAAGACCCAAAAATACACTCCACAGGACTAAAATTTGATGTATTTGACTATATCAAAATTATGTATGAATTATCATTCACTGAAGGAGAGCACAGATAGCTCAATTGAGATGTTAGTAAGAATTGCCTCCTCAGTACTCTATAGACATGATGAGGAGGAGGCCAAGGAGAGAAAACAAAGAGACTGAGAAAAAGCAGCTGCTTTGGCTGCACCACTAAGAGAAACAGATCCCAGGTCTGACTCCCCGGGCTCCAAGAAGAACTCGACAACTGCATTCATCTGCTACCACTGTTAAAAGCCAGGCCACCTCAAGAGGAACTGCCCTAAGAGGCCCCATGGGCCATGCCCTGGATACAAAGGAGACCACTGGAGATTGGTCTGCCCTTTGAGGTGGAGGCCCCAGAGCTCAGACCCATGCTACCAGTTAGTCCAACAGGAATGAGAGGGCTTGGGGCATGGTCTGCCTTCTCCCTCTGGCCAGACCGTCATCTCCATCGAGGAGTCCTGGGTAATCATGACTATGAAGGAACAAGAAAACAGCCTGTTGCTAGACACAGGTGCAAGTCTCTCGGTCCTTCTTTTCAATCCTGGCCTTCCTTCCAGCCATCATACCTCAGTGAAAGGAGTCACTGGTGAGGAGGTAATACGCTATTTTTGACAACCCTTAGGCTGTAACTACTTAATAGGTCCTTCTTGCATATATCTATCTTCCTGAGAAACCACTTTGAAGATACCACCACGTATTACAGCAGCCATTGATATTTTCCTACTAATCTATCCATAACTGTGTAAAGTTTATAATGTTCCTATCCTATTTCATAAATGGATGTCTGTTTATTATTATGTGTTTCCTACAACAACCACTGAGAATAGTTAATGATTTTTCAATAGGTCACTCATGTATAGCTCTATTTATTTTCTTTAGAAGCCACTTTGAAGATACCAAAGTATAGTACAACAACTCTTGATAATCTCCTACCTCTTTTGTCTGTAACTCACTATTATTTGTCTATTTGTTTTCCTGAGAAACTATTTTGTAGATAATAATATGTAAAACGATAACCATTGATAATTTCCTACCATTTTGTCTGTAGTTTGCTAAGTCCCCCCTATTATTATGTTATCCTTCTTTTATTCTTTAAAATAAAAAATAAAAAATAATTATGTATGAATTATCATTCACTGAAGGAGAGCAAAGAGCAAGCTAACAGGATGCATAAAATATTGGGAAGATATTTGTAATGAGAAGGGATTAATATTTAGAATATGTAAGAAACTTTTTCAATTCATTCAAAATAAAAAAACTATGGGAAATCCAGCAGAAAATTAGGCCAAGGATGTAAATGGCTAATTTATAGAAGGAAAAACATCTCAATGATTCAGTATGTGGAGAAAGTCAATATGCCAATCATCCGAAATATAGAAATGAAAATTACAATGTGATACTATCTTACTATTAGATTAATATAAATTAGGACATTAGCTAACACCAGATATTAGCATAGGCAGTGAGGAAATGGGAATCTTCCTACCTTCATGTGCCACTGTTTGGAATGTAACCTGGCAAAGCCATCCTGGAAGGCCACGTGAAACCAAGCAGAGTGAAACTAAGCCCTGCAGACTCCATGACCCATTCATTCCATCTCCTCCTTCTCATCTGTATGGGACACAGCCAGTGCCCATTCCAGTGTTGGCTGTGATAGCAATGAACGGCTGACAACCTAACTATCCATTTTTGAGGAGTTAGTTAAGTACAATATGTTAGACACACAAATTGAATTCCATCAGTGGCAGAATTAATGAACACATGACCAGCTAAATTTCTGGTATGGTTTGCAACTTAAATGTACTCCAAAGACCACGTGTGGAAGGCTTGCCCCCCACCCCCACCCCAGCCTGTGGAGTTATTGAGAAATGGTGGAACCTTAGGAAGGTGCGGCCTAGGGGGAGGAAGCGGGGTCACTAGAAGGCGCCCTTGAAGTAGGCATTGGGACCCTGGCCTCTTCTTCCAAAGCCATGAGACTGACAGTCTTCCTCTACCAAAATGTACTGCGCCCCCACGGGGCCCTCTGAAACCATGAGACCTAATAAATCTTTCCTTCTTTAAATTCTCTCAGGTATTTTGTCACAGCAACAGAAAGCGAATAGAACCTCTCGTATATTATGTTGAAGAAAAAACGAGGACTAGGACGGGTTCTCACCACAAAGCCAGTCATTTATATTTATATTTAAAATAGATACGTAAGCTAAAAGCATTAATGTATGTCTTGGGACACATTATAAATACACTGGAGGATGCCTACACAGGGAGGGGTAGAGAAAGGGGTGTGCGGGGCAGGAATATGTGCAAAATAAAAGATGGTCCTTGCTGACTCTAACGAGCTGAAGGATATGAACAATATTGAACGCTCATTCCCAGAGTACAAAAGAAATTGCTCCGGCTCCCTTGATTGCCTCGTTGTCTTAACCAAGTGCGAGTGACTCAGCCTGCCTGCAGCAGCAAGGCCCCTGTCCACGCAGCGCCCGACTGGCTCTCTCCTCCACGCCCTCGTTCCCGGCTCCCTACGCTCCACTCTGCCCACTTCTCACAACCCACGCACGCCCACCTGCACCCATAGCACTGGCCCTTATTTCTCCAGTGAATCTTTAGGGACTGTTTAGGCGTCTGTCTTCCAGGTGGCATTTTCTGGACGCTGCCCTGCTACCAAATGTCACTATCTCCAGGACTGTATTCCCACACACCTCTCCCTCATCACCCGGGTCTTAATTTGGTAGACATCCTTCTCCCAGAGCTGGAGTTGAGCAAGGGAGGTCCTTGCATCCGTAGCCTGTCAGCTGAGCTTGCGGATTTAGGAACAGCTGGAAAGTTATGGCAAGTAAAGCTGGACCCGAGCCCACCGCCTTCTTTTCTGCTCCTCGTTGATTGGCTTAGCCTCCTCCGCCCAGCATCCGCCCCCAGCCCGCCTCCGCCAGGGGAGGGAGGTAGGAGGCTCTGCGCACGCGCCATTGGGAGGGGCAAGCTCGGCGGGGGCGGGGCGAGGGCAGTGGAGGGCAAAGAGGAGCTCGCGCGGGAGCGTCGTCTTGCGCGGCAGTTGCGTCCCAATTCGGACGCACGCGC